GTCAATCTCCCGTTTCAGCAGTGTATGCAGACTTGGTACACTTACTTCCTTCTTTCCCTTTTTTGTAAATGACAATATCACTGGTACCGTTATTTGGTCCGAATACAAATAGTGTATCTAAGTTGTTATCATACAAATCAAAAGCTTTTGAACTCTGTCCACTTTGAATTCCAAATTTTTTATTTTGTAACATTCCATTTCTTTTCAACGAAAACAAAAAAGCCGACGAAGAAAAAGTATATCCATTACTATTAACTATTTTGTCGTATACAACTCCGCCAAATTTGTTGTTCTTATCATCTTCAATTAAAAACAGCAAATTTTGCTGTTGATAGACCTTTCCATTGAATGAAGAATTGATGTAAGACCATTCGTCTTTGTTGCTGTCAAAAATGACAGAAGAAATGTTCCTTCCAGTTAATGACTCAAGTCGTTCCTTTTCATCATCAGTGATGTTATTTTTTTTAAACATATTTAAAAAATTAAGGCTTTTAAAGTCGTTCAACTTTTTCTTCTGCGCCAAAAATGCGTTTTCTTTGGATTTAAAATCTTCTTCTAATAATTTTATGTTGAGATCTATCAAATTTACATCATCATCTTCTTTAATGTCGTCAAGTTGTTCTTGAAGCATTTTAAGATCATTTATAACCTTCTTTTTTCTTTGGACTTTTTCGTCAAGAAGGTCAAATGCACTTTCAGCCAAACTGAGTCGCTCTTGAAGGGTCTTTGTTGTGTCGTCTACAAATGTTTCGTGTTTGTCTATTCGAGAAAAGAATGGTTTTGATGATGTGCAAAAGTTGATGATATCGTTTGCAATTTTTTCCATTTGGTCTATATAAGTTGTTTATTAATTTAAATAGTAAACTAATATATATATTTATCAAAATTATTTTTGTTATTTTTTGTAATAATAAAAAAATAATATCAAGTTGTATATTGTAGTTAATAGATTGGTCAAACCACAAAAAAAATATTATATTCAGAAACGACATTTTCGGATAACGATTGTAAGCCAACTCCACAAATATGTTTTTGAAAATTACGGTTTCACACAAGACGCGGCTTGTTATGACCATGTTTTGAACAGTTATAAACATATAAATTTTTTATGGTTTTTATTTTTATCTTTTTATATTTTTATATTTTGTTATTGTTATTGTTAAACAACACTTTTTATTGTCCAATTCTTTATCGTGCTTATTCGGGATAATGTCGTAATATATTTACTTTTTAAGCTGAGGAATTTAAGACAATTTGAAAGGTTTTTAACACAACTGTATTATATTTTTATAATTATATAAAATATGTGCTAAATTATTAATTCTTGACATCATTTTAATTTTTTGTGTTTTTTTTTGATTTACAAAGAAATTGAAGTATAACTAAAAATAATTTGGATTTGTGCTATTTATTGAAATCAAATTTAAGCAAAATACCGAAAAATTCATGTTTTAAAACAATTTATTAATAATATTTGATCAAAACAAAACTCGAAATAAAAACATGGCGAAACTTGAAAGTTATCATGCAATGATAGTTTCAAAATATTTTTTAACTTTGGAAGATTATATAAGACTTGAACGTGTTTGTAAAAAGTTCGAGAATACAATCGCCAAATTTCATTACAACCCAATTCCTCTGACTCAAATTACCATTAACTATTTTTCACATCTTGAGACACTTATTCTTTATAACACTTCTGATCATTTTTACTCGCAAATTACATCAGAGAATTGTAATTTTGATT